CCGACGCGCTCCCAGAGACAGTCTGGTGGAGTACGCTCGGCGAGCTCTGCTGCACGTGCGACCGGGGACGGCTGATGGAGGACGCGCCGTGCGTGCACAAGTTGGCACTCGCGGCCCTTAGCGAAAGCTGGAGCTCGACGGCGGAGCTGCCTACCCAAGAGTTGCTCGGCAGAGGAGCGAGGGTGGAGCGGGTTTGCTCGGATGAGACGGGAAGCTACTTTGCGTTGGCCGACAACCTCCAAGGACCTCCAAGCCCTCAGAGGCGCATGGTCTTTCGCAGCAGCAAGGGGGCTTGGTATTGCGAGGGTAAGCGCGACGGATGCCCAAGCGTCACCGACTGCTCGCACGTCATAGCGGCAAAGGCAGCTCTGAGGAATGAGGGAGACCTTTCAGTTGCCGTTCAGATGGTTCTGAGGCTCTCGGAGCCGCTGTCGGAGGCTGCGCTGGGCTGGCTCAAGCGGTGGAACGGGGAATTGCCAAAGATTGGGGTCCCCCCCGCCGTGGGCACCTCCTCGCAGGGGGGAGGCGATGCAGGGCTGTCGGAGGAGGAGCGGTATCTTGTTGGCTTGCTGGAGAGGCGGCCCCATGAGCAAGCGACCTGCGCCGGCGACTCGTGCTTCTGTCGTCAGCACGATCGCCTCTTTGGAGAGGCCGCCGTCGCACACACCTCCAATGATCGGGAGAGCAATGGGGGGGGTCGTGGCAGGGAAGGGGGGGCGGCTGAGGAAGAGGCGCCCCCTTGCAAACGAGCGAGGCGGAACAAGGCTTTTTGGGAGGCACACAAGCAAGGCTCGCAAGGTTCGGCCACAAGAGTGGGGTGGGGCGCTCTGCCACCGGCGGAAGCGAGGGGCAAGGAGGCAATTCGAGGCTGGGTGGACGCGTGCACGAGCTGTTCGATAGGCTCAACGGCGGCTTGCGAGCATGGAAAGGCCTCGAGGGTTCGCGTCCCCGTTATGCTCCTGACGACTGAGGCCACGGGTTCAGGTTACAAAGCCCAAGCTGGCTCGCCCAAGCGATGCGCATGCCGTTCACGACCCCCTAGTAACCTCGCTCAGAAGCCCCGTCCCCGTGAGCGAGCTTTGCAAGTGCCACTTTTGGGAGCTTTCAGAGAAAGGGCTACTTAGCGCGCCCTGCCCATTGGACCCTCCCGCATGCGGCGGCTCGTGGGTCGAGGCATGGATCGAGGCGGACGTGACGGCCTCCCAGTGGAGCCAGCGGGTGCGGGTGCGGATCTACCACTGCCAGTGCCTTGACGAGGCGCACACCGTGCACTTTTGCGGCGAGCACCAATGGCTATTTACGTGGAACCGGCGGACCCTCTTCGTCCAGGAGAGCTTGCAGCTGCTCTTGCGGGGAATGCAGCACGGGCACAGCTTCAAGGCGGAGCTGACAACGCATCAATCGGCCTTCCAGCGCTCCCCGGATGCAATCGTCTTGAGCGAGGAGACATGGCGCCGGGCGAGCCTCGACTTCTTCAAGCTGGTTGGGCTGGGGTTTCGGGATTGCTGCTCGTTGTGTGGGCCCCATCCAAAAGTAAGCCACATGGCGTGCCCATGCAGAAGACGAGAGGTCACGAGATTCTTCTGTCTAGCGTGTGTTTGTTGTCTGTTTGTTCTGTGACAGTTGGATAATCACTGTACATTCGTCCATAATCAATGTACATTTGCTGATATTCAGTGTACATCCAGTAACATTTCATGTCACTTTGATGGAATTTCAATGCTTGATCCTGTGCTATGCACATTGACCTGAATCTCAGCTCAACATACTCGTTGACCCACACAACTTTGACCTTTTCTCCAGATCCTCATCTGCGACGGCATCGTTGGCCTTGCCAGCGCTGACGGCGCGCAAAAGCCAGGCGGGCTTGGGAGCTCCTCGCCCGACGCGCGGCGCACGTTCTGCCACCCTAGCCGTACCTCCACGGGGGCGCTCCTCGAGAAGCGGCCAATCTCCGGTCGCGACTATTGCGGGTCCGGTCTTCAGGGGGGCGGGTTGAAGCGCAAGCTCTTGCTGCTACCTGAGTTGCGAGAAGCGCTCGCGCGCCTGTCTCAACATCGGCCCAGGGACGAGAAACTTGGGAAAAGGCTGTCAAAGGTGGAGTATGAAGCGCTCTTGAACGGGCTGGCTCACGAGGACCCCCAAATCGTGAAGCGTTTTGGGCCGGATGAGGCGGAGGGGCCGCTTCCCGAGGACGGCAGACGGCGCATGCTCGTCGAGCAGCGCACGATGGTACAAGACCGAAACCTGGCCGTCTTTGAGTTGCTGAC